TAAATCGCGACGAGAGTATAACAAAAGCTAACTTGTTATAATAAATATGAACTACAAGACTTTTCTTCAAAATGGGACCGCTTAAAATTAAAACTTGATGAAGAGTACGAATTTGATAATTTTATTGACGAGGAACAGCAATTAGAACTAAAAGAAAGCACTAACAATTCTAATTTAGAAATTGAAAAAAATCGTCAATATTATGTAATAAAATTAAAGCGTGTCGAAATTGTATTTTGTGTTGCTATATAGTACTACTGAAATATAATCTGTACAGCGAAGCTTACAAGACACTATTTTTTGCATATAAATTCATTCTATCACTGTCGTCAACACAAGTAGCTTGTGAAAGAATGTTTTCAAAATTGAAATATATTCTCAATAGAATAAGAAATTCATTGAGCCATGATCATTTAGAATCATTTATGCTCGGAAAAATATGTTTTTAAGGTTGTTTTTATAGGTATACCTAAGTGGGCCGATTTTTTTTATTTTCCCGGTAGAAATTGTTGACCCAGTCCGGCCCTGATTACTTGGCCATCAATTATTAAAGTATTAACAAGTTCGTATTAAGTAGGTACTTACTGGCTACTTAGTGTCAGTTTTTCAAAACTATATGGACCCAGACACCCAGTGGTCAGTACCCACCCACCAATTGTAGGTGGTGCAAATGCACCACCTTAAGTACGTGTTCGGCGCCACTGTGCTGACTAGTAGGTTACAAGTGGGTCACAATATAGGTACTCTAAAAGTTTAATATAATATATCAACAAATAATATTTTTAAGTTACAACAAAATAACTAAAATTGTATTATTCTTGGTTTACACAGTGTACGCGTGTAATATGCTGGTAGGCCAGGTGACTACTATTGTAGTATAATAGTAAGACAAGTGGCTACTAGAATATTAACGTTGCAGGTAGCAGACACTTCTGATGATGATGTCGTCGTGGTAGTTGATTAAATAAAGTAGACAGTTGTTGTACATCGTGAATTTATTATTAGTATTTAAAAGTCCAAATAATGTTATACAGAGTGGCGTGTAAGTGCTTGCTCTAATGGGTGGTCGTACACGTCTGAATACAGGCCGATTCGGGCTCCCTTATATATGAGGTTCCCCGTACCCCTTGCCTATATATAGATACTGTATCTCGGTTCTCACGGATGTGATTTGTGTGATCATCGTTCCAGCCCACGATTTCCCAATATATTCTGGGTATTACTAAAATATGTCGATAATAATTAATATTAATCTATGGTCTATACTCTATTTCATTAAAATAATCATTTTACTCTTTTATATTTGAATATCGTCGTGTTCAGTGCTTCTGCAAAATATTACATCCGCCTGAGTCATTCAGTGGGCTTGTTAAACAGGAGGAAATCCTATTTTCGTTTTTAATATCCGATTTATGCCGATCTACAGTATATATTATGCTGCACCTGTGGAATTGGTTTTATCGATACGTAGTAACTTGCTTACTACATCTCCCCCTTTAAAAATTGATTTTTATCGTCTAAAACGAGAAAAATTAACTCAATTATCCCTCCACTAGTTCAAGCATTTTCCTATGGTTACAAGTTTACATACATCAATTATTACATTACATTCAATTATTACATGTTTGTAATATGTATGTTTGTTATAAATATTTAGTTACATTATTGTAATTATATGGTACATTCCAAAATATATTTCTGGTTACATTTATTAAATATTATTGACAAAATACAGATTACAATTCACAATATTATAATATATATTTGCTTATTATGTAGGTCAGTATCTTATGTGAATAACAATATTTTTAGTTTCACAACAATAATCTTATATCTTAGAGTCAATATAATATTATGAATTAATTCTTTAGTATAATATGAATTCTTAAAATCTATTACAATATATTTTTTTTTCATGCAATATATATATGATAAAATAATGGAATATATATATTATTTTCATCACCATGTTAATTATATTTTAAATAAGCTAGATTAATACATTTCTTTATCAATCACTACGTTAATTATGTCTAATATATGCTAATATGTTCCTCTATGTCTTTGTATATTATTTTCTAAAAATTTAATCCTAAATTTTCCTTTTTTTTCATTTTTTCATTTTTTTTTCTACGTTTATATCTTTTCTTATATATATATTTTCCATTATATCATCATATTTTATATCTAGTTAATATTACTATTCCTATTACTGTTATTTGATTATATCTTTTTATTGCAGGTCCAGACTAGCAATAAACTATTTTATTTAAGTTCTATTACATAATCAAGACCAGCATTAAATTGATTTTATTCTATTCTATTGTTGTATGTGTTTTTATCTGCAAATCGAAACGTCCTAGTATTAACGTCAAAATGTGCTACAAATCAAAGCATCATTCTACGACACTGGCTAAATTAACAAGACCTTGTCCTTCCAATTTCTTACTGAGATTTATTTGTCAGTTTGGTCCATTGGTGGCTCCGTTAAAAAAATTCGTTATGTGCACAATTTTTGAACCAACCACCAAATGACCAAATTCCAACATTTTAATCTGTTCGGCATATAATAGTGTCCCATTGATCAATTTTTAATAATGATAGATCAATTAAACCCCCATTATACACCGGACCGATTTCTAATCTTATTCCCTGTCTGTTTCTATTCTGAAATTAAATTTATTTAAATTATTATTTTTGTATTGTATTTACAACTGTTTACTAGTATCTATCGTTACTTCCCGCTCTCTTTATTTACTTTTAATTTTGTTAATTATTAAGCTATTTGTTAGTTGCCATCATAAAAAGTTATAAATTCGTAATAATTATATTTTACATTGTGGTGTTCTGTACGTGATATTGTTTATATTGACCTAGGCAATTTAAGTCATTAATTTATTGATTTAAATTGTCTTACTAAATTTTGGTACCCATATTCCCTAACCATTTTGTTGAATATGCATTTGGTAAATCTCACATCCGTTTTTGGATCGTGAGGGTACGTTATCTTGTGTTTTTTCGTACAGATACTGTTATGCGCTTCAGTTAAATTCAACATTCTACCATTTTTCTGGATTCTACCTACACTATACTCGAATATTCTTTCAGTCGTTTTTCCCTTTGGTTTCTCCAAGAGCATATAGAAATTTCCTTTAAAATCTAAATCGTAGCACCTATAATATTTCTAAACAATCTAAACTAATATGAACAACGTTTGGGTCTGATCGACTACTTGACCGAAGTGGTAATTTTCGTACCACCCTTTTGTGGCGTAAGGAGTTTGTCTGTTAAACTAAGTGTTCTTACAAAATTTTCCCTAACAGCTCTTTCGGCGTTAACTATCTGTTTCCCCCAGTTTGTTCTATAAATTCTTTCTTTATGGCGTCTTTTAATATTGCCACCTGTAATTCTTTCTTAGTTTTATATTTTTTAACTTTTACTGAACTGTCCGCAGAACTAGTTTCAATATCTGAACTATCGGATTCTGTCATATATATAACTAAACATCAGGTTCATATAATTTTATATAAATTATATTTATTAATTTATTTATTCAAATCTATACAATAATTATAGTATAATCGTATTTTATTATTTTACTTATTCCATTGATATTCCATCCGCGTATTTAATTACTAGGGCTCGGAAGTTGATGACCTTAAAAACAATAAAATATGACCATAAAAATTGCAAAAAATGTCCTAAAAAAATTACCAAAATTAGTTTTATATTAATAAAAATACATTTTTTTAAAATATTTTACTCTATTTTACTATAAAATTCAAAATATGACACCTTTACTTTACATACTTTACAATAAAGAACTGTGCCATCGGAAGAAAAAATATCGTCGCCGAATTCCGACACAAATGCACGCAGACGACTAGACGAGCACTAACCGACGTTTTAATTTTCATCATTTCGAAAATATTACGAAAAATAATAAAATGTAGGTATAATATTATTCACTTTTACACGACAACGACGCGACGACTGTAATCGGCGAGATAAAATCGGATACTAATCGAATATTAGGAAAAAATAATAAAATGTAGGTATAATATTATTCACTACAATACGACAACGACAATAATGTAATCGTCGAGATAAAATTGGATAGGTACTAATCTTAGTCTGTGGTTTAAGTTATCGGCATAATGGTCGACAAGAAACGATAAGAAATGAACTAGTGTGAAATCAGTAAAAATAACTAAAAATGTTGGAAAATAACCAATAAATCTCAAAAAATGACTTAAAAAGTAATAAACACCAAAAAGTGCAAAAAAATGCAGAATGAAAATTAGTTATTTAGATTCACATGCTTATGAAACAGATAATTGTGGCCAGGAGAGCATCGTCTAAAAAGTTCCAAAAAAAAAATGCAAAATGCATCAACTTCCGAGCCCTATTAATTACCAATAGTATTTATTCTACATGTATAATATGTCGCATCCACATAGTGAAACTACTCATTTCATGAACTGGATATCCAGATAGTGAAATTCATCCAGATAGTGAATTTTGAGGAAAATACATTATATGGACCTATATCGTGTACTTTGTGTAATTATTATTTTATTATATAATGGTTCATAAACTATCTCATTATACATTTATACGTATATTATATTTTATTATATAAATAATTATATTTTAACAAAAATATTTTTATTTTATTTTTCACGATTGATTATGACATTGACTGTTACAAAGCATACTTTTCAATATCAATAAAGATAATAATGCTTTATTCGTGATCTATATTATATAAGGCTATTAGAGATGTATCAAATTTAATTTCGGTAATTCCACATCCGATATCATATGAATGTTTCTTTATCGGATATTCGGTTGACAGTTGACTCCTTGACGGACACCTGTGTAACTCCTAAGTTGTTCAAAAAATTACATTTAGTGAGTGTTTGTGTATAACACAGTTACAGTGTTTGCAGTTTATTCGTGTACCTATTTATTATTTCATATAGCAACTTTTAATAAAAATGGAAGAAAAGAACGTATTTTATGAAAAGCTAGATGAATATTATAAATTGAAATCTAAAAAAAAACCGTTCCCTAAATATGTCCAATTACAGATGATTGCTGAAGAAATAGAAATGGCTAAAATCAAAACGTAAGTAATTTCGGACTTAAATAAAAATTTACTTAATTAAATCAAATATAAATTTTAACACGTTTAAACAACAATAAAAAAACTACTCTATAATTGATACAAATTGTAATATTTTTTATTATTATTTATTCTGACAGTGGTAAAAAAGATCGACGACAATACTATCTACTATCTATATTTTTGTGTATAGAACAATATAGAAAATATACGTATACATGTATAATGATAGTTTATGAAACATTATATATAATAAAATAATAATTACACAAAGTACACGATATAGGTATTGTCCATTTCATGAAATGAATGTCCATACAATGTATTTTCGTCAAAATTCACTATCTGGACGAATTTCACTATCTATATGGATATCCAGTTCATGAAATGAGTGGTTTCACTGTATACTAATTGAGTCCCTGAACGGGAAAAAAATAATATACTAATTGAGTCCCGGGTACAAACGAGACATATACTAATTGAGTTTGGGGTTAGGAAACTAATTGTATACGAATTGAGTCCGAGGATTATTTTGAGTAAAATATAAAATAACCATCCAGAGTCCAGACACAGCGAAAATTATGCCACACAGCCGTGCCGCGCGTCAAAAGCCGCTCTACACGGATATACCTATACAGTGGTCGCCGCTTAATGTAATCACTTTGGTACGGGACAAAACTGATAACATAATCCGATTGATAACACTAAACAAAAGTTTAAAAAATAATAAAACCTACGTTCAATCAAAAAAAAAAAAATAATAATAATGAATTGTTACATTAAATTTAATATACATAATATACTGATATACCATATACACATAGTTATTAAAAAATATTATTATTTAATTTATGGTTATTTATTACTAATTATAGCATATTTGTAGGTAAAAAAAAAAAATTAACTATTACTGACTTGAACAATATTTTTTTATTGATATCGGTTTTTTTTTTTACCGTTGAAAGATCATTGATAAATTTTTCGTATTTGTAATGTAATTCAAAATGTGATGAGTGTTGTTGCACTCCCCTTCGTAATACTCGTAGGGCCTCTCTCATTTCAAAAGAACTTGGAGGTTTTTCAGAATCTGTTTGTGGCTCGAGCTCAATTTCTTCATTTTCAATTTCTTCTCCGTGTTCATTTGTTTGTGATAAAGCATGTACAATATCTTCTTCAGTAAAATTTGATGTAGTACTGTAGTAGGTATATTTTCATCGATTTTCAGCCAATTTTCAAAATCTGAGTAAAAATACTCGTATATAATGATGATTTTATGACCTCAAACTGATAATATAATGCGGCGTATTGATTACAATAACCGATATAATTTACACATTAACGTATATATCCGGCCCGTACTTATACTTTTCGATAACAATAAACGATTGATAACATTAACCGTGATTATAATAAGCGGCGACCACTGTATATATTATATACATAACATTCATATAATTTTTATGACTTTCGTCAGATATTATAGTAACATATTATACAATGGGCCGGGAATTTTAGATTTTATTTCCATCATCGCTTGTAAAGGTAATGCCAAACGCATATAAAAATTAGAAGTGTTCATATAATTAATTCAAGAAATTGTATAAAAGAAAAAGAAAAAGAAATCAGCCATCAAATGCAGCTGTTTCAATCGAACACAATAAGTAGATTTGAATATGTACAATGCTTATCCCATAAATTCTTACCAATATAAAAATGTTATTTTATCATTATCTAAATTTATTTAATTATACACAAATTATTCATATTATATTATACCCCTACATTATTATATATTTATATTATAAAATATTTAAAAAAAAAAAAAAAACATTTTTAACCATACCTGTAGAATTTTTTGTTACAGGCAGTTCTAAGTCTGTAAAAATGGGAAGGAAAATGTTTTTTTTTTTTAATTTTACGGGACTCAGTTAGTATTAAAACATGGACTAAATTAGTATTATACCTACAATTTCACTGGACTCAATTGGTTTATACCCTAAACCAACCCGGGACTCAATTCGTCATAAAAGGTTATACTTGGGACTCAGTTCGTATGCAGCCAGTGGTTTCACTATGTGGATGCGACATATATATATACTATTATTATTTATAAAACAATCAACGCGTACCTACCATCACCAAAATGAATAATACGTATATATAATATTATCCACAAAATTACCAATACGTTTGTACTATTACTTACAAAATAAACAACATGCACATATAATTATTCATAAAATAAATTGCGTAAATTGTGCGTCGTAAATTGATGATTACCTATCTAATATAACACGTAAAACGTTCAATCGCGGCCTATGCTACGCGTGTTAAATTTCGTTACGGTTTATCCCCTCACCCGTTCCGCTCGCCCAGTTCCGCGATGTTTCAGGAGTACTCGCTTGTACCGCGTTCGAATATTATTCAAATAATCTCCGGTTAATGGCGTTAATCACTCCGTAAATCCCTCTAATAATATTCGACTTCCCATCCCTTATTTTTCTCATTACTACTGAGGCTTTATCACATGGATTTTTGTTGTTCGAGTGAACGACTGGTGAAAATTCTGGACATATCGTAAATATTTCTGTTTCCGTACAATGCAGAAGCCGAGTTTCCGCGAAAGTGGTATACTGTTCCGTATATTATATTATTACTTATAAAATGAACAACATGCACAATATATAATTATTCATAAAATAAATTAAATCTAAAAATGTTTAAAAATAATACTAATAAAATAAATACTAATAAATAATATTAATGTTTAAAAATAATAAAATACGATATAAAATAAATCATAATATCATCTTATTTGTCATATGAAATACCATACAATTGCCAACCGACCTTGAAGCTTCAATTCATGACCGGAGTTCGCTATCTAGTAATATATAGAAAATAGAAATCTGTGTATTATAAAGGTTTAATTTGAGTTACACACTTTTAAATTTCGTACTACACACTTCACTTTTTGTACAACACACACATTTTAAGAGCTGCTATATACACAAAAGTCTATGATAAAATTACTATTTTATATTATAATTCACAAAAACAATAGTGATGTGTGGTAGACGGACCGGTCGGCTGGGTTGGAGAGTGAATTAGTGGTGTGGAGGCAATTACTCGTTGCCTCTATACATAATTTTATACTTAATTTAATAATAACAATACTTATTTTTAATTTCAATCAATACTTTATGGTTATAGCAATTGTGTAGGTAGCAGTTGTAAGAAACAATGTCCTAACCGGTTAAATGTATAAACATAATAATATGAAAAACATAGTACAAACTTATTAAATGCACAGCCCTGTTTACCACATTTTTCAATATTTATTACGAATTTATCGCGAAAACGGTTTCCAATAAATCATGATTTACGCTGCTGATTAAGTAATAAAAAGATTGTTATTATACCTACAAAATTATTGTTTTTATTTTCATGCAATCATGAATTATATTATACATTAATTTATAATTATAAATAATCTTATTAGTGATCAATGGTGGTGGGTAGAATGTAGAATACGTAACTTAGATTTACGTAGGTATATAAGTATTTACTTCGATCTTTTCTACTTTATTTAATTATAATATTTTCTACTTTTGAAGTATTTCTATATATTTAAACTATTTTATTATGAAAGCAATGGTAAATTATATTCCAGTTTGAAATATACATTTTTTTTGGTTAACATTTAAAAAAATCGACTTTATAATTTAGCTGGGCCTCAGTGCACAATTTAGGAGGGGGCCCCGTTGGCATTTGCCGACTAAACGACCGTTATTAAATCCGCCACTGCTCGTTGCTATACAACGCATGTATTTTACGTAAATTATTACGCGCCTAGGTTCGCCGCGATCTTTTTTTTTTTTTTGAGTAACGCGTCTGAATATTATTAAACTATTACTGGGTAGCTAAGCCAGCAATCTTATAACTAAAGACCGGATTTATATGTTTTTACATATCGTTATTGGGTCTATGCAGTCTTATGAGAGTAAAAAATGTGGACGATTCGTTCAATTCTGAATGCGTAGAAAAAGTTTTTTTGCATATTTGAGAATATTTCATGGGTTGGAGAATATTTAACCCATTTAGCATATTTTGGAATATTTCGTAAATTGTGAGCAAAAATTTGTATTTATTTTTATTAATTTGAATATTACGGTACTCTGAAAATTTTTTTTTGACCATTTACAATTTTTTTTTTTTCATTTTGATAAAAATAAAACACGCAGTATTATCAAGGTTTATCTATGTATATCTACTGATAAGATCAACTTATAAGTTTATCAAATATTCAAATATCAAAATTTTGTTTTTGTGTTTTAATATTATACTGTTGTATTTATATTATATTCCAACTTCTTACTCTTGCTAAAGTGCAATACTATTCCATGAGGTATAATATGCAACTCTTAATACCTAATTAATATCTCACTATAAAAATATAGTTGAAAATAAAATTTTAAAAAATAAACGCATATTAAAGCATATAATGATGTTTTTTGATTATTTTTGCATATTTTTTAAATTTTTAAGAGAATATAATGAGAATATTTGAAGGTTTTTTAGAGAATATTAGCATCATATTTTGGGTATTTTAAGAGAATATAAATCCGGTCTTTACTTATAACAATATTCAACTACCTATCTATATATATAAAAATGGAGACAAAAAATTCGAAATTGCATCAGTTGAGAACGGGTGGGCCGATTTTGCTCAAATTTTTTTTAAGATGTTCGTAATTGCCAGGTGAAGGTTTTTACGAAAGAAAATTTTTAAAAAGTCAACCGAATAATTAGAAAAACTGCAAAAACTATTTATTGATGCCTGGGATTTGAACTCTATACCGTTGTCTTTATTTACTCTATTGTGTATTATATCGGTTGCTATTGGTTAATCGGGCATGTTTGTTGATTTGTATTATTATTTTTTGTAAATATATCTTATATATAAATGAATGACGGTGTGTAGATTAGACCTATGGGAAAAAGAAACGCTAATTCAAAAAGGGTTAAATTCGGTTTTTTTTATTCATCGGATTTTAGTACGGTTAGGTTAGGTTAGGATTTATAGGTAGGTGGAATTAAGTAAAAACGTCAAACTTGGTATAACTTTGGTACTTTTTGAGTTAAATCATACACTTACGTACAAACAGCACGGGGTCCACGATCTACCACAGGTAGATTGCCTACCTGATAATATACTGCTGCGAAACAGAATTTTTATTCCGGGCAACAGAAAAGTTAAG